TTTACTTGCAAAACATATCTTCAAATTGAAATTCCTGTAATATACATATTTTAGTCTGAGATCATATAAAACCCCATCTAACTAAATTTTTTCCCTTAGAATTCTCATTATTTTACCCAGTACTTTTTTTTGTAGATGAAAGCTACAATCAGAATCCAGGTTTTTCTTTTATTTTTTATTTATTTATTTATTTATTTTTTAGAATCCAGGTTTTTCAAGCTTTGAAAGATGCCTTTTATAAATCCAAACCTCCCCCTGTAACCTTGTATAGACTCTTAAAAGTGCCTTTTTTCTCTGGAGAAAGTGTCAACGGTATTTATAGTAATAGTATAAAGTTACTTAAGGTGTCAGGCCTCAGAAGAAATGGAGGATTATGATAGCAAAACTGTCTCAGAATATTTACACAAAGTTGCTTGGATCTCCCCCAAATTAGCACTTTCTCTATTTTTAGTTGGACTGCTATTTCTGTAAATTGATTTTTTTCTAGCAGTTCTGGGTAAATTTTTTTTTTTAATTTCCACTTCAATCCCCGTGCACTCTTGGTGAGAATGCAGATTAATGCAGCCCCTATGGAAAACAGTATTGAAATTTCTCAAAAAAAATTTAAAAAATGGAACTGCCTTATGACCCAGCAATTCCATTTCTGGGTATATATCCAAAGAAACCCAAAACACTAACCTGAAAGAATATATGCACCCTTATGTTCAATGCAGCATTTACAATAGCCAAGCTATGAAAGCAACCCCAGTGCCCATCAATAGATGAGTGGATAAAATAGTTGTGGTATTGCCCTAGCTAGTTTGGCTCAGTGGATAGAGCATCAGCCTGCAGACTGAGGGGTCCTGGGTTCGATTCCAGCCAGGGGCACATGCCTGGGTTGCGGGCTCTATCCCCAGTGGCGGGCATGCAGGAGGCAGCTGGTTGATGATTCTCTCTCATCATTAATGTTACTCTCTCCCCCTCTCCTTTCCTCTCTGAAATCAATAAAATATATTTTTAAAAAAATAGTTGTGGTACATATATACAACGGAATATTCTGCAACCATAAAAAAATAATTAAAATTTACAGCCTAAGTGCCCATCAGCAGATGAGTGGATTAAAAACTGTGGTACATCTACACAATGGAATACTACACTGCGGTAAAAAAAAAAAAGGAATTCTTACCATTTGCAACAGCCTGGATGGAACTGGAGAGCATTATGCTAAGCGAAATAAGCCAGTCAGAGAAAGATAAATATCACATGATCTCACTCATTTGTGGAATATAATGAACAACATAAACTCATCTACAAAAACAGATCCAGAGACAGAGAAGCATCGATCAGACCATCAAACCTCAGAGGGAGGGTGGGGGTAAGGAGGAAGATATCAACCAAAGGACTTGTATGCATGCATATAAGCCTAACCAATGGACACAGACACCAGGAGGTGAGGGCATGAGTTGGGGGGGGGGGGGACATAGTGGGGATAAGGACACATATGTAATGCCTTAATCAATAAAAAAATAAATAAAATAAAATATGGTAATTTAATATATGCCCCAAAATAATTAAAACTTACCATTTGTATATGAACTTACAAATAAGTTATATTAAAAACAAAATTAATAAATACATAAAACATTAAAAAAAACCCATTTGTGACAATATGGTTGGACCTAGAGGATATTAAGCTAAGTGAAATAAGTCAGAGACAGACAAATACCTTATGACTTCACCTATGTGGTATTCAAAGAACAATATAAATGAACACGCAAAATAGAAACAGACTCATAGATACAGAGAACACACTGATGATTGCCAGAGGGGAGGGTGGTTAGGGGACTGGGTGAAAAAGGTGAAGGGATTGAGAAGTGCAGATTGGCAGTTACAAAATAGTCATGGGGATGTAAAGTACAGCATAGGGAATACAGTCAATAATCTTACCTAACAATAGACAAACATGTAAATTGACTGTCCCTTCGCTATGCTCACCAGCCAATCAGGAGAGTATGCAAATTAATCCAACAAAGATGGCGATTAATTTGCATACGTAGGTGCGAAGCAGCGGAGCGAAGACTGAAGGCTCCGGCTGGAGGAGCGAAGGCCTGGGGCCTGGGAGCTGGAGGAAAACCGGTGCCGGCAGCCAGGGGAATGGAAGGCCTATTGCACGAATCTCTTCGTGCAACGGGCCTCTAGTATTATAATAACTATGTGTGGTGCCAGGTGTGTACTGGCAATATCAGGGGAACACTTTATAAAGTATATGATTGTAAAGTATACTTTGTAAAGTATATGAGTTCAGTATTATTTCATATTAGTCATGATTTATAACTTGTTTCTCTCGTTGGCTCTTAGTCCTTTCTCACTTACATCATTTCCTACCATAACGTTGACCTGCATGACCCTTTTTTATTCAAGCTCTATCTCCTTTGTTGTGACTTTTACTCAACTCATGGATAATTGCCAGTTGCCTGACTTCGCTTCCCAAATTCAAATTTTGTAAATAAGGATGATAGCCCCAACTCATATTTCATCCCAGAGCCCATCAAAATTGCTGACCAGGTGAAGGACCTAAGGATGTGGTCCTTAGGTGAGTGCCCACCCCTGACCAGTCGACAGGACAGAGGAGTTCAGTCCTACACAATACAATGCGGTCATTTGGGTCCCCCTTCACCAAGAGCTATAGACATGGTGACATGTCTTATGCAGTGCCTTCTTGGCAAATTCGTAATGACAGATTTACTGGGGAACAATCTACCTGCTTTATCTTTCAGATTTGATGGAATTTTGTCCAGGTTATATTTTCTGTATGATATTAAAAAACAAAAACTTACAAAAATCTTAAATGTTAGAGTTTTTCCAGTTGTATGTTAAATTAAGAGTATAAAAGAAATCTTCCCCTTTTTTGATATAAAAGTAGTGAATAGATTTACTAGTAAACCATTAGAGTTATAGTCATAGCCAAACTACTTTATCACAGTTGCTTTTTCCACAAGGTAGAATAAGGCCCTTTTTTTTAAAAAAGTATAGTGTTAGAAGGGTTTTATGCCTGAGTAGATACGAGGTGGTAATATTGTTTTGGTAGTTAAGAAGTCACCTCAAACTCCTGCCTAGAACTCTTACAGAATTTAGGCACATGGTAAGCATTCCACAAATTTTTCTTGACATGAATAAAAAAGGCTGCCTTTATTTAAGTAAGCCCAACCTGCAGCAAACATTTCTGTTAAGGGCTATAATCATGTCAAAATTTAAAGTTATAAATATTGATGCTCCCATAGTCATGAATTCACTAGAAGACTAGAAATGGCTAGGTTGGAGTTCACAACGTAGGTCCATTAAATCCCTCAGTATCCACCACCACACTCATGCAAAATAAAACTTTTTGCTTAAAATGTATTTGCTGTTGTTATATAGTATTTTGCATTATGTAATTGCATAAATATTTATAATAAATATATAATAAAATATATATAATCAGCAAAATGATGTAATATTAATAACAGTATAATTAATGTAATGTGTTATTAAGTATAATAATATTATAAAGTATGTTGATATTATAAAAATATTATCCTATATAGTAAAAGCCCAGCGACTGAGTGGCAGAACGACTAACTGAGAAACCAATGCTATATTGTTTTCATAGTTATGATAAATTTTATAGAATTTATTATTTAGGGCTTTCTATATGCTAGATAGAGTTGATTAGAATCTGTTAAATGTAATTCCACCAGAATCCTACTTTTCATTATATTTATCAAAATATATTGCATACCTGCTACAAAAATTATATTTTTATGTGGCTGCTTACATTTCTTGTCTTCAAAAGGCAGATAACAGTTCTATTTTAGTTCATCTATGGGCCTCAGTCATTTTAGGTAGTTTGAAATTCCCCTAATATGGGGGTTTATGTTTTGATATAAAATATTCTTTGTTTCTACATTGTTATCTGACTTTTTAAAAACTATCCTCTTAATGGATAGGTTACTTCACAGGGGCTTGCCTCAACCGAAACTTATAAATACAAGCTTCTTAGAAATGTCCACGACTGCTTCCTAAACAATTATGCCAGCTAAATATTCTTACACATGTATTGAGAACAAGTAGTAGTAACTACTGCTACTTAGCTTTCCAAGTAGTTAGATAAAACAGACTAAAGATTTAGAAAAATTGAATTGATTGAATCATTTATCTTTTAAATGAGCTAATAAAAGTATATTTAGTTTCAAATGGATAAGAAATTTGTATCACTATTAGTTTAGACAGCTTAGATCATAGTTAAAATGGTTCTTATAAAGAAAAGGATAAAGCTAGAAACAATTTAAAACATTAAACTTCATAAACACATAAGGTACACCTGGGAGGTAAGATTTTAAAAATATAAAGATTTAGTGGCAGGAGAAAATTATAGTAGCTTTGGCTAGAAATACTATCTCTCTTCTTCTAACAACAACAACAAAAAAGACAAAATGCTAGAAAATTAAAAAGTTCTAGGAATCCAAAACATCTTTTATTTTACTAAATATCTTGTTATAAAAAAGTAACCTTTCTAAATAAGCTAAGTTTTAAAGAACACATAGGTGAATGAATACCTTATTCTTATTTTTTCTTGGTTTTTGAATTTGTAATGCTCAATAACTTTATTAGTGAGATCTATTAACCTGAACATTTACAAGACTGAGTCTAAAAATTGTTTTTCATGCCATGCCCAATATCAGAGAAAAGATTTCAACAAATATCAAGTGTAACATTTGCTCTAAGCTTTTTAGAGATATTTTTATCTGGTTAAGAAAGGTTTCTTTTACTCTTACTTTGCAGTAGTTTTCCCATGCATGGGTATTGTATCTCCTTTTTTTGTTAATAAGGTGAAATATGTTGATTCAATTTCAAATGTTAAACCAAAGTTTCCTTTGTCAAGTTAAAAAAAAATCATTTTCCATGTTGCTTTCTTATGTTTATGCTTAGTTTTTAAAGCTTTATACATACCTTACAGTATACCTGTCTTTTTGACTCCCCAGCAATCGTGTGGAGGCATGGACAAGAGATGTTCCTTTTTTACTCAGACAAGAAGGCAGACCTATGGTTAATCTTATCCCTAACAAGACTAAAATAAGAGTAATGGAAGGGGATTGGAAGACTACAGACACAGCAGTAAACTGGTTAAGAAAAGCAGCAGTTAATCACACTCAACCATTTGTCCTATATTTGGGATTAAATTTACCACACCCTTATCCTTCACCATCTTCAGGAGAGAATTTTGGATCGTCAACATTTCACACATCTCTTTATTGGCTTAAAAAAGTAAGTACACTATGTGTGCTATGTGTGCTCAAAACTAGAAGTTAACATTATAATTGTATGTTACTGGTATTTACTCACTGTTTCTTTTATTATCACTTTTAAAGAAAAACTTAAATATTGAGTATTCTCATTAAATCAAATTGACCAATAGTTGGTTGACAAAAGCTGAAGGGACAATTTTATAGAAATAAGATAAGTGTTAAAACTTAGAAACCTACTGCTGAATTGAATACATTTGCACATAATATGTCTATTAAAAGAGAAACTGAAAGATGTTCTCCAAGTGCAGGCAATATTCACTGTGCACAGTTCAGGATCGAAAAAAATGACCCTGCCAGATGAAACTGCTCAAAGAGATCTTAATAATCAACTGGGAAAGTGACCATTTTTTCTAGGACTCAACTCATTTGTCAAAACATTTAAAACTCTCTTATTTGGGGTTAAAAATGTATAGGGAAATGAAAAACAGTGAAACCAATATTTATTTAAAGCATTGTTACTAGAAACACTGAGAATTAAAGTGTTTGCTTTTTTTGTAAAAAAAAAAACAACATATCAAGAGTAGTTTGAATAGTGCTTGCCTTCTCATTGTATAATTTAGATACGGAGCAAACATCTTCTCTATATCGTGGCATATTGTCAGATTCATAACTAAATTTGGATTGCCTTCCAACATTTTCCCCTTTGCTCTTTCAATGTTGTGATATATTTCTGAGAGTTCCTTTCCTGTGAAGATTTTTGCCACTGTCACTACCGCTAGGACGTTTGTCCTTTCTTTGCAATGACCTTCCTCATTTACATCAATGAGTGTGTCTTCACTGAGTTCCTCGGACTGCCTATCTAGCAGTGTCAACCTTCCCACATCAGCAATTTCTTCTATGACTCCAGTTAACGTTTGATTCAAATTTCACTTCCAGTGTTACCACTTTTTATTTCTTTATTGTACATTCATCTTTGTTAACCAACTCCCTCTTTTGATTATCCATTTCTATGCACTGTCCCATGGGTTTCTCACTAAGAGACAGGGAGGCAGCACAACTGCACAGTGTGCTGTCTGTGTGTATAATGGGTAAAAGATGTGCAGTGATCAGTCAGTGACAGGCTTTGAAAGAAATGGTCTGATTAGTCCCTGATACACATCTTTCATTCATATAGTGATTTGTAGACTAAGTAGCTAGCAGCATATGACTGGAGGTTTGTACTGTATGCACTGATTCACAGTTAATATACCGTAGTAACTAAAATCTGAACCCCGTTATTGGGAGACTGGTGTCTCACTAAACTGTGGTAACTGCAATCTGTGTATATCTGAACCATGCAGAGGGAGGACTGTCTGTACTTTGAAACATGTCGTCTTAAATCGAATTTAAGTTGCTTAAACAACTCTAATCAGAAACACTATTTAGTGCACCCTATTTTAAAGGAAATACTGTCCAAGTTGCAAATACATCATGTCTTCTTAAAAAGTTCTAACTGGCTCCATCTTTAAAAAATTCATCTGGAGTTAGTACTAGCCTAATTAAATGAGTCAAATAACTTTTAAATAAATAGTAAGTAGATATTTGAATTTTTTTTAAGTTACTTAAATATATGACTTAAATCTTAATCATTTTCACCAAAACTGTAAGCATTTATATATATGAAAAAGTTGTATTTGTTTACCAGATATTTTGCTATCTCACTAGATACTGCCATTTTTACTAGTGAACTATTAGAGAAAAGAAGTCTACAATCTTAGGGTGTTGGTCTGAAATTTGAAGTGATTATACAACTATCTTAAAGTTCTCAGACCCTTTTTCTGTACTAGAATACTGTCTAATATAGCTCATGTCATTTTCATTGACATGTATAATTTTTAAAATAATTTTCATCTCACTATATGTAGATATTAATATATCTGTTTTATTATTAGTGGGAATATTGACAATTTGTTTCTAATTTATTTGTTTTACTATTTTCAGTACATGATTCATAATCATTCTTTTCTACTATCCTGAATAATTAAAGTATGTATGTCTAGTTCACCACACATACTTGGTGGATGAGAGGAACATTACTACTTTGTTTTTCTCCCCTTTTTAGGTGTCTTATGATGCCATCAAAATCCCAAAGTGGTCGCCTCTGTCAGAAATGCACCCTATAGATTATTACTCTTCTTACACAAAAAACTGCACTGGAAAATTTACAGAAAGAGAAATTAAGAATATTAGAGCATTTTATTATGCTATGTGTGCTGAGACAGATGCCATGCTTGGTAGGTGGTATAATAATTAGCAGTTACATGAAGAAAAAGTATAATATTTTGCCAACAAACCATGATTATGGTGGTTGATGACTTGAATGAATATCCTGAGATGATTTTTTATATCAGTTGCTTAGATACTTCAAACTTAGGATTATAAGACTCACATATAAAAATTGGATAATTTGCATTATTAATAGAATAAAAGCCTTTTCTATTTTAATTATTTATAAATTAATAAATGCTTAGATTTTTTCATACGCAAAGAAAAGGTCATAGAAGGCTATATCATCTGCTTGCAACAAAACCTTTTACCAGCTTTAATCAGTAATCAGTACAGGCATACCTCTTTTTATTGTGCTTCACAGATAACGTTTTTACAAATTAAAGGGAAGACCCTCCACCATCAAAAAGATTACAACTTTATTGTGATACTCGTTTTATTGTGCTGATCTGGAACCAAACCCTAAACATCTCTGAAGTTTGCCCATATTCAGCCAAACACAGATACACGTGTGACAGGTCATTGTAAGGCAGTTTAGTTCCTAGGAGATTAGACAGTTTAGTTGTAGAATCTTGTGACTTTGCCCAGACTAATAGCTGCAGAACAAATCAGTTCTCCCAGGCCCCTCAGAGCAAACGTAACTAAAGGCCAAGTCAGTTTCCCCATGTGTATTCTGGTACAGAACCAGTTTGAAGTTCCTTCTCTGATTCAGCTCAAAACCAAACCTGTCTCTATAAGGTGATTGTCAAGAAAGTGTTTTGCCTACTCACTTGTAGAGTTATGGCGGCTTCCAGTTCATGTGGAGAAACCCTGGTTTAAAAAAAAAAATACACATTTTTATAACAAGTTCTTTTCACAATACAGTATCATTTATTCTGCTGTACATTGGAGTAGAATGTAATTGCATTAGTGAAGTATGGGTAGCACCTTTTCTGTACAAAGTAAACTTCAGGTGTGAACAAGTGAATGGCTGTTTCTTAAAAAGCATTTATTGGGAAAATTTTAAAAAGTATAAAACAGAAAGCAAAACAGTCATATGGATAAATTATTTATAATTAGTATTAAAAGAGTCTAAAGGACTTTCCAATTGCTTACTCTAAAATACAAGATTTTGAGTCAATTTCTTTAATCCTTAAATCCACACAAATGTTGAATTATATCTATATATTTTCTGATGTTAGTGATAGTCACCCATTTGCACCTTGGAAATCTCTTTTGAATGTTTGCTGCTATCCATTCTTCCATGTCTACTAAAGTGAAATAGGATGTAATGTTGCTGCAGGGAGTGTGGGGATACTACTCTTGAAGTCTCTTCAGGCAAAAAAAAAAAAAAAAAAAAAAAAAAAAAAAAAAAAAAAAAAAAAAAAAAAAAAAAAAAAAAAATGCAGCAGCTCACTTCAAGTTACAAAGGTTATGAAATATATTGTATCCTTGTTGTTAAATCTCTAACTGATTTTGTCACCAAGAGTATTTATGGTATTACTGTTCACAATGCTTGTTCAACAAACATTTAGCGCCCCCTAGTAATCAGGCACTGTTGGGCACTGGTAGTATTAAGTTGAATATTATAAAAACAGTCATGTATTAATTAAAAACCCTTTAGGCATGTTCTCTACCCGAGGGCCTTATATTCACTGTTCCCTCTCCCTGGGATGCCTTCCCTTTGCTTTTTACATAGCTGACAGCTATTGTCAGTCTTTAGCTGGCAGCTCAGGGATATCTCCCCAACCACTCTAAGTTAGTATACCAGCCCCATCATCCTACTTACTCTTGTTTGCTTACATCATAACTTTTAATTATTTTGTTGATTTACTTGTCTACTGTCCATTTCCCTTGAAGAATATGAGCTTCATGAAGGCAGGGACATTCAGTCTTATTCAACGTTGTATTTTAAGTGCCTAGCTTTGCCACCATAGTGCCTGCCACATGGTAAGAACTCAGTAAACATTTACCAGCCATGATAATATATTGTTGTAACTACAGTAATATACTACTTTTTTATATTTGTAGTCTTGGAGGACAGAGTGATTCACTCTACCTGGGGGAGTGGGGACTGCTTCACCAGGGAGGAAAGGCTTGAGCTGGGTCAGAAAGGAAGAATGGCAATTTAGCAAGTAGATGGTGGAAGAAAAGGCATTCAGTAATAGAAGGCAGAATATGTCCAGAGGCAAGAAAGTCTAAACTAAGTATTATTAGTTCAGGGAATTCTAAGTTGGGAGGGTTGTGGAAGTTAAAGGTGTTAGGGGAAGCCGAGGGGACTGAGCTTGGAGGGTGGCCAGGGGCTTTGTGTGTTGTACTAAAGAATTAAACAGTAGAACACGGTGGAAAAGGTCTAAACGGAGTGTGACATGATCAGATATTTTAAAAAGCTATCCACCAGAATGGTACAAGGAATACTGTGGAAAGGAAGGAGGAGTGCAAGCAAGAAGATCAGTTAAAAGATCCTGATGGTCTGAACTCTGTAAATAACTCCATGGAGCCCTGGTCTCAGTTCTGACTGGACCTCTGAATCACCTGTGATGTTTTTTGTTTTTGTTTTTGTCTTGTTGTGTGTGTGTGTGTGTGTGTGTGTGTGTGTGTGTGTGTGTGTGTGTGTGTTTAAAAATAAAACAGAGAACCCTGTATCCCAGATTGAGGAACTGCCAGAATAGGGATGACTCCTCTCTCTGGACTGTGCCTTGCTGTAATTCTTAATTATAATGAGGAGGAAGTTTCAGGACACTAAGAAACAGGGACTGGTCAGAGGAATGTTACTGTCCAGGTATTTCCCTTCCAAGAATATGCTACATCACACTCATAGACTATCTATACTACTTCAGTCCTTCTTCAACAATGGAAATCTGTAACCCTCCACCACCTTCATGGGCACGATCTGGAGATTGGGGATTTGGGAAAAGGGTTGCAGGGAAGAGGAGTTCTGACCCCTCTTATCTCCTCCCATTGGGCAGTAATTATGGGTCAGTGTGATATCAATCCTTTCACCATCTGACATGTATAGAGTGCTGATATCCAGACCTGTCTTTTTTTCATTACAGTCACTAAAGGGAAAAATTTCCCCCTATTCTCTAATCCTATATACTAAAGAGCTAATATGCTAATTAGACCGAACAGCAGAACGACTGTCCAGACTACCTTCCAGACAAAGCCGGGGCTGCGAGGGCCGAGGCAGCAGCCAGGGCAGCTGCGAGGGCCCACCCTTACACAAACTTCATGCATCAGGCCTCTAGTAGAAACATAAAAAGCATGCCAGTGTGATCTTCAAATAAAGAAACTATACTATAGGTATTATATTTTCTCCTTCCTCTCTCGTCTGTCCACTGAGGAACAGGCACATGAAACAGTATTACTTAGGAACAGTAGATAATATTCAGATGTTAAGTAGCATCCTGACAAACTCTTACTAGGGTTGTGATGAGCTTATTATGATAGAATAAAGCATTAACTAATTAAGATTTATCTTGATTATATTGTAGGTGAAATTATTTTGGCTCTTCGCCAGTTAAATCTTCTTGAGAAAACTATTGTCATATACACCTCAGACCATGGAGAGCTGGCCATGGAACATCGTCAGTTTTATAAAATGAGTATGTACGAAGCTAGTGCCCATGTTCCACTCTTGATAATGGGACCGGGAATTGAGGCCAACCTACAAGTATCAGATGTGGTTTCTCTTGTGGATATTTACCCTACTATGCTTGGTAAGTAATGTAAGTCGATAAAGCTTTATTTGTAATAATGCTGGAGCATGAGTAAGCAAAGTAGTCAGAGGCCCTGCTGACGTGTTCATAATCTTGAGCAACTCCTCTGTGAGTCAATCCATATCTGAAATATGAGAATAATATTCCTCAGGTTCCTTTGGCCTTTACTCCCTGTAGTCATTTTTCCTTCCAGAGATTCACTATCAGGATATGACTATCGAATAAGCCACTTAAGATATTCAGGTTCATAACTTCATAGATATGATTGTTTAATTTCTAGGAATGCAGATATACTACTTATTACTTTCTATTTTTTATTAAAAGTATTTAATTAGACCTAAAAACACAGAACATTGAAACCAGAAAAGGGGTGGAGAGGGCAACTACAGACTCATTTTGGAACTATCCTGAGTACCTGGCCATAATTAATAATTTTTCTATAGGAAAAAGATAGTTTGAATTTAAAAAAGACACCTTAGAAGCAATTTTTACATTGTTATATTATAAATACCTCTTTTTTTACAACCTCTTTTTAAGTTAGACATTTCTCATGCTATTGTTTATATGACTATATTTGATGAGGAAAAAAATAAATTAGTTTTCCTCAAATCAGTATAATCTGGGATTTATCAACATATGTTCTGCAAAATACTATTCCTCAAGGTATTACTTGGGGGTAAAAAAAGTTTTGTCATCAAATAACTTTGGGATACATGGAATACTATACACCACCTCTGAAGGTTTATGATATGTATCAGCAATAAATTTACATTTACAGTAAATTCACCTATGTAATTTTAACCATTGTTTGCAAACATGTGTGACTAATAAACCCCTTCTTATATAGGTGTTATTAGTATCTCATGGAACAAATGTGAGAAACAACTGTGATTATTTAATCATTCAGAAATAAAGGACTGATGATATAAATTAATATTTGTTAGGGGTTTCCTGTGTGCCAGGTACTGGTCTCTGAATTTTATATAAATTATCATATTGAAACCTAAAATAAGCCTATGAAATGCAGGTATTATTATTATTATTCCCTTTACAAATGAGGAAACTAAGATTCAAAGTAGTTAACATGCCCAGGCATGGTTATTGGAATAAGCACTTGGATGCAGGCAAAATACTTATAAAATACATGTACAGCCTCTGTGACCTTTAGTGATGTCATTGATGAATGTCCAACTAATAAAAAATGAGTTATTTTTAAAATTGTATTATTTGTGTTATAGACATTGCTGGGATTCCTCTGCCTCAGAACCTAAGTGGATACTCTCTGTTGCCATTATCATCAGAAATGTTTGAGAATGAACATAAATTTAAAAGCCTGCATCCACCCTGGATTCTGAGTGAATTCCATGGATGCAATGTGAATGCGTCCACCTACATGCTTCGAACTAACCAGTGGAAGTATATAGCCTACTCTGACGGTGCTTCAGTATCTCCTCAACTATTCGGTAAATTTGTTCATATATTTCGTAAGTGTAGTATGATGTGTGATGAGCTGACCTACATAGTGTTGCCTAACAGATCCAGTAATTATTGTTACATGAATATCTGCTGCTTCTCATGATGGGACAGTCTACAAAAGATTGCCCATGAGAGGTGCAGATCCTTTGCAAATCACCATCTGTATTCCAGAACTAGTGCCTTAAAGCTTTTGATCTGAGACTCAAGATCGAAACCACTGTTTTTCTCTGATCAAGGTGTCTTCTAATACTCGTTATCTTTCCCAATCAGTAGTTAACACCCTCTCATTATACCATGCTTTCAGCTGTTCTGGAGGATTATTATCTATCCTATCTAATAATAGAGAAACATGGTAATTAACCATAACTTCGCTACCCTTCCCATTGGCTAATCAGCAAGATATGCAAATTAACTGCCAACAAAGATGGTGGCCGGCAGCCACACAGCTGAAATGAACAGGAGGCTTGCTTGCTCCAGCGATGGAGGAAGCCAAGGTTCCCCGCCTGCCGCAGCCCAGCTCTGAGCTCCGGATGCAACATTGTTGCAATTATAGAACCTAAACAAACCCCAGGTACATGCTTTCAGCCGGCAGCAGGCTCAGAGCTTAGAGCGCCAGTGATGGTAACAGAGTTTCAATTATAGAAGCTAAACAAACCCAGATACCTGCTTTCAGCCAGCCACAGCCTCAGAGCTGGAGCCGGGCCTCAGCTCAGTGACAGCTATAGAAG